GAACTACATTTAGTACCCAAAGTATAATAGTTTGAGATGAACAGTGAAAAATCTCCATCAGAGCAGAAAATTTTGGGAAATTACCACCACTACCAACAACAACAAAACTGAAAAAATCCTTTGACCTTGTATCTTGAAGATAAACATAGTCCTAATCTCAACTAATTGCCAGTTTACTGATACTCAGTTAATGAAGGCAAGAAGTTACCTATTAAATTTTCATCTAGCAAAAGCTAAATTCTTCCTTTTACATGGCATTTAAATGTGAATGCAGAAGCCTTGTTTCTAAACTCGTAAGAATTGAAAAAATAAGGAAGACTTAAGGTTGACAAGACAACAGACAGGGCTTTGGGTAGTTATGACAAGTCTAAGAGACTTGCTCATGATTCAGATGAAGGAGAAAACACATGGAGATGGACTACTGGACAATGAGAAAAATTTGCATAAACAATGTAACTTTTTTTGGTTGGTGAGTTATTTCAGACTAAAAAAATCTAGTTTGCTAACGCTATGGACAAAACCAGTTAGTACAAGCAGAAAGAGAGACACACATAGAATCAACAAAAAAATAACTCCCCCGCTCTCCCCAGTTACGCAAACACTGTATAGAAGTGTGTATTTTGTGGCCAAAGAGTACAAGACAGGGCAATAACTGGCTGAGCAAGTAAAGATCCCTCTTTGCCAAATTAGTCCAGGAAGGGTATAATTAAAACCACGCCATTAAAAATACTGTCACAGCAAGCACTAAGTTTTCATGGCCACATAAGCAAGGATATGAACACAGCTTTCACAAAAATTTAAACACTGGGGAGCAATATTTAGTATTTCCGCACAAAAGCCATGCCCGAGCATTAGTATTCTCAAACAGAGAAAAACATTTTTTGTCTTAAGGTATGTGACATAAAACTTTTTAAGGCTTTATTTGTGGGAGGCAAGCATAAACTGGTCCTGACCATAAACTGCAGGCTCTCATTGTGTGCTTCCCCCACACTGGACAGACAACCCTGTGTACATGTACTCACAGATACGCACACACAAACATCACCTTTTTCAAATCACAGCTGTGCAACAGTAGATAGCTCTGCAATTGGGTTGCCTGTGCTTTGAACCACATCCCCTCCCTCAGCTGGCTGGAAGTCAGTAAGTTCTGATGCAGCCTCACAGTACTAAAGACACTACTGTGGACACTGCAGGGATTAGTGTGCTAGCTAAATGAAGCCAGTCTCAGCCAAACCTATTACTAGTTCAAACACAGGCCTTTCAAGTGAGCATTTGCTCACATCCTGACAGTTTTGGTGTGCTGCTTGTGCAAACATCTTGTGTTCTGTAGTAAAACCAGTTACTGAAATGTATCTAGCCAACTTGAAGGCTTGCACCGACATGGAAGACAAAGTATGTTGAGGAAAAGTCCTAGCAAATTTATAAAGGAAACAGAACGTAGAGAAATGAAAACGTGACTTGCCTGCTTTATATGAACAACAATTAAAAGCTGCTAATATCTGGCTATTTA